GGTTCCAGGAATCATCTACTCATTGTGCTTCTTGCTCAGGAATCAGGTTGTGCAAGAGTACCTCTCCCCAGGCCAGGCCTTACGGTGCATTCTTTCAGGATTCTTTCTGGAGAAGACCCACCAACAGCAGGAATCTGAACAGCTGAGCGGCCAGGCCAGGCCCGCCAACACACACACTGCTCAATGGAGCAGAAGTCCTTCCACTGACTCCCCCCTTCTCAGCTGGGCAAGTAGCAAGCTCTTCACCAAGACTCTGTCCAGGGGCCTGTCTGGCTCACAAAGCAGCTCTTTATGCCAAAGAGCAATAAATGGTGGAGCACAGAAAAGAAATTCCTGGGTAAGTGGGGGCAGCATTGGAAGGAAGGGGAGAGTAAGCTGGTTATTCCAGGAATGAGCCGAAACCTTCCACTCTTTGGAACAGAAATAAAGTTAGAACTCTCCCTCGACAACACAGAGCATGGTACATAGAAGGCACACGGTTGGGGGAAGAAAAAAAACCAGGACTAGATTCATGACTGCTGTGAGCAGGAGACATGGGTTCTCGGCCCAGGTTTACTGTTGATTCCTGTGTGTTCGGCACAAGTTAACCACGCCTCCACCCATTTAGACTTCTTAGGAGAAGCTAGTCTGTTATTACGTTGGAGACGGGGATAAAAAGTTGTATTAGACATGTTCCCTGATGTGAAGAAATTCACAGACTGGTAAGAGAGAGGCATATAAACTCTAAACCTCTGAGCTTTGGTTTCTATAAAACAGGAAAAACACACCTGTTTCATAAGGCTGTGGGGAACAATAAATGAGGTAAGTTGCATAAAGCTCATAATACAGCACTTGGCACATAACAGGTCCTCAACGAGTGATCGTTATTTATTACAAGAAAGGGATGGAGGCTGTGCCAAAGGAATACAGAGGTTAATCCATTTTGCAAAGGGGTTGGTTCCTCCAACAGCTTCTTGGAAAGAGATGTCTGAGCTAAACAGTAACACTGTTACTACTGGCCAACATTTACTGACTTGAGAAAAACTAATTTTCACACTTACATGAAATAAGTATGTAATTTGTAATTATTGCTCTTGGGCATGAATTATCCTTGTCTTACAGATGAATAAAGAACTCAGTGTACATACCCTGTCTGTGTGCCGTGGCACTTAAAATAAACATGAGCAGACTTCCTTAGTCTAGCAAAGGTATGAGTGTGAGGGAGTGGGGCGGGGACTGGAAAGCCATACCATACCTCCTGTTGACACTTTAACTGTCAGTGGAAAGAGGACAAAATGTAGCCAGTGCAGTTAGAAAGCAGAAGGCTTTCTAGAGTTTTGCATTTTAAGTGTACAGTTTGATGCATTTTGAAAAACGTATAAACCTGTGAACCCACCACTAAAATCAAGATTTAACACTCCGGTTACTCCAGAAAGTTCCATCATGCCCCTGTGAAGTTCACACTCACTCCAGCCCCCCAGACTTTCAGGTAACCGCTGATCTACTGTGTTACTGTGTTACTGTGGATTAATTCTGTCTGTTCTAATGGGATCGTACAGTATGGACTCTTCTGCAGGGCTTCTTTCCCTCAGTATAATGTTTCTGAGATTCATCCAAGTTGTATGTATCAACCATTTATTTTTATTGTTGAGCTGTATTCCATTGTTTGAACATATCAAAAATTTGTTTACTTACCTGGTGACAAATAACTTCGGTTGTTTCTAGTTTGAGGCTATCATGAATAAAGATGCTTAGGAACATTTGTGCACAAGTCTTCGTGCAAACAAATGTTTTCATTTTTCTTAGGTCAATACTGAGAAGCGGAGTTGGTGGGTTGTATGGTTTCATTTTAAAAGAAACTACCAAACTGTTTTCCAAAGTGATTGTTTCTTTCCATGGATGCTTTTAAGAATCCCTCTTTGTCAATAGTTTTCAGCAACTTTTTTTTTCGATTTTATATATTTTATTGGTATATAATTTTCATACAATAAACTCCATATACTTACAGTGTATCATTTGATGAGTATATATATGACCATACCCACAATTCAGATTACAAACATATTACCCCCCCAAAGTTCCCTCACACTCCTTTTTAACTCTTCCCTTCCTCCCCTTCCTTCATTCCCCAGGCAACCACTGATTTGTATTCTGTCACTACAGATTAGTTTGCAATGTCCACATTTATATAAATAGAATCACACAGTATGTGCTCTTTTTTGTCTGACTCTTTTAGTCAGCATCATTCTTTTCAGATTCACCCATATTGTTGCTTTTATCAATCGTTTATTCTTATTATTGCTAAGTAGTATACTACTGAATGGATATACCACAATTTGCTTATGCATTCAACTGTTGATGGATATTTGGGTTGTGGCTAGTTTTTCGCTATTACCAAAAAAAAAAAAAAAAACTACTATAAACATTCAGGTACAAGGGCCTGACTGGACCTATGCTTTCATTTTTTTCTTTTGGGAAACTCCTAGGAGTCAAATGGTTGAATGTATAGTAGATACAGGCTTACCAAATCATGAAACAATAAGCTGTTTTGCAACATGACTATACCATTTCACATTCCTATCAGCAGCGTCTGAGAGTTCCAGTCACTCCGTGTCCTCAATAACATACGGTCTGTCTCTGCAGACACTCTGGTGGACATGTAGCATATCTCACTGTGGCTTTAGCTTACATTTCCCTAATGGCTAATGATGTTAAATATCTCCTCATGTGCTTATTTATAAGCCACTGGCACATCTTCTTTAGTGTCTGTTCAAATCTCCTACCCATTTTTTAAACTGCATTGTGAGTTAAGTTGTAAGAGATCTTTATATATTCTAGATAAAGTCCTTTGACTTTATATGTTTTGCCAATATTTTCTCAGTCTGTGGCTTGCCTTTTCATTTTTGTCACAGAGTCTCTGGAAAAGCAAATGTTCTTAATTTAGATGAGGTTCAACTTATTGATTTTTGCTTTATACTTTGTGCTTTTTGTGTCCCATAGTAAAACTCTTTGCTAAAACACAGGTCACTAAAATAGTCTCCTTTGTTTCTTTTAGAAGTTTTACAGTTTTAACTCATACAATTAGACCTATAATCCACTGTGAGTTAATTTATTATATGGTATGAGGTAATGGTAGAGGTCCACTTTTGTGCATATGGATACACAATTGTTCCAGCATCATTTATTGAAAAGATTCTTCTTTCCCTATCGAACTACCCTGGAATATTTGCCAAAACTTAAGTTGACTATATATGTATGCGTCTATATCCGAACTAATCATTCTGTTCCATTTGCGCTATTATGCTTAGCTTCACACCAATACAACATTCTATTGATTACTGTGGTTTTATAATAAACCTTGAAATCAGGTAGTCTAAATCCCACAACTTTGTTTTTCCTTTTTAAAGTTGTTTTGGCTATTCTAGGTCCTTTGCATTTCCATATAAATTTCAGACACAATTTGTCAACTCTACAAAGCCTACTGGGATTTTCAGTGGGTTGCCTTAAATCTACAGAGGAATTAAAGCAAAACTAACATCTTAACAACACTGATCATGGTAGCAGTTGCCTAACAATATGAATGTACTCAATGCCACTGAACTGCACATTTAAAAATAGTTAAAATGATACATTTTATGTTATATATTTTTTACAATTTAAAAAAAAATGAGGGGGGAAGGTGTAGCTCAGTGGTAGAGTGCATGCACACGGTCATGGGTTCAATCCCCAGTACCTCTGTTAAGTTAAAAATAATAATAATAAATAAGTAACCTAATTACCTCCCCCCAAAACAAAACAAAATAATTTTTTGAACTTTTTAAAATTAAAAGAACAGTATCTATTTTAAAATTTAGACTGTATCACCTAATATGTAGTGGCTCATAAGCTGGCCAGTCAATTTCACCAGTTAATTCCTCTCCTCCTCAGCCCTCCCTCCTTAGACCTGTTACTATTAGCACATCGCGGCTGAAGGGCCATGGCCGAGAGCACTGTTTTCCATTTGTCTTTCCTCTGGCTTCATCGTTTTGTTTTTTTTAATGGAGATACCGAGGATAGAACACAGGACCTTGTCCATGCTAAGTACTCTACTACTGAACTATTACCCTCTTCCCACATCTTTTTTTAAAATCAACTTTATTGAGATAAACTGTAAAATACAACCACTTTAATGGAAAGTTTGACTTTTGATAAATGCATATACCCATGTATCTGCCACCACAATCAAGATACAACATTTCATCACCGCAGAAAGTTCCATCATGCTTCTTTGATGTTAATCTCTCCCTAAACCCTCAGGCAACCACGCTCTACTTTCTGTCACTACAGATCAGTGTTGTTTTCTCTGTCATTTTATATACATGGAAACAGTCTGTCCTATTCTTTGTCCAGGCTTCTTTCATCCAACATCAGTATTTTTGACATTCATCAAAATTACATGTGTCAGCGGCCTGTTCATTTTTATTGCTGAGTAATTTCCTATTGTATGGATATACTGGAATTTGTCTCTCTGCCTGTTGAAGACTATTTTAGTTGTTTCTACTATGAATATAGCTGCTTTAAATACTTGTAGATGAGTCTGTAATGGACAAACGTTTCTGTTTATCTTGAATAAACAGCTAATAGTGGCGTGGTTGTAAGGTAAGTGTGTATATACCTTGATTAAAAGAAGCCAAAGTTTTATAGTCAAACCCAGATCCAGTCATGGCTTTGGCCCCGTGCACAGTCTAGTCCAGTGGGCAGACGGTGACACTGGGGGTTGGGTAACTAAGTTCTAGCTGGGGATCTGGCCTGTGCTTACAGGGTGACTATGACTGCCACAGCCTCAGGTAACTGGTGTACCACAGACCAAAGAGAGGGTGGTTCTTGATGCTCCAGACATCAAACTAAGAAGTCAAAGAGTTGCAGTAAAAATTAAAAATACTATTAAGTGGCTTTTATACCAAAACAAACCACAAAAGAGAATGCAACAATCTTTAGATTTCAGCTAAAATTCAAAACATAATGAGCAAGTAATGTCTTACCTCTGTGCATAATCTTGTGCTTCTCTCTCAGGTACGTCAGGCCTTTTATTACCTAGGGGAAAGGAGAGGTAAAAAAGGTGGAAACTGAAAGAATGGTGTTTAGAAAATACTCAACTTTTCTACTTTAAAATGACCTAGAATATACTTCATCTAACATCACAAATCTGTCTTCTTCCCTTGCTTTTTATTCTTTCTTTTGTTTGATTTTTTAACCTTATCAAGAAACCATTTTTTTTAACGTGGTATTTAAACACTATTTTGAAGCAAAATTGACTATTGCAAGTTTAGACAACTTTAAAAAAATACTTTGCTTGAATTAATTTTTTCTGAACTGGCAATCGAAAAAGAGGCTTTCTGATGCTACAAATTGAGAATTCTTTTGGATACCCTGTCCTGTTTTTCTAGACACAGATTTTAATACTTTTCTAGTTCTAGTGAGTGAGAGGCAGGGGGGAATACTGTATCCAGAAATAGGGAAAACTCTAGCGAGAACCCCACTTTTCTTACAAACTTTGCTGACTTCCTACCTTCCTCTTTGTCCATTTCCTACTGACTCATAAACTTGTCAATGAAGTGACCTGGAAGAAAACTTATCAATATACTCACAGCAATGCTAACTTTTCCTAAAATTTGTTCAGGAATTCTTCCAGCTTTCTTCAGGACTTGATCCAAGGAACCCCCATCCTAAGAACAAGAATACCAGCCCATTTAGTGACAATGTTCCTATTCTCTCAAGGGTTAAACTTCAGCAGGAAAGTGAATCTCACACATGACGCATCCTCCGAGAAGGGAACCCTTTGGTTGGTTCCGCACATCAAATAAGATATGAATACAAAACCTTGTGGGAGCTACCAAATGACTAACAACTTAAATTCCACAAATAATCATGAAACAAATTATAAATTCAGTGGTCAAAAATTACTTGTTCAGTGGTCAAATAACTAATTCAGAGGTCAAATTACTAGTTCAGTGGTCAAAAGTGACTAATTTAGTGATCAAATGACTAATTCAATGGTTCACTATCCTGAAATAACAGAACAGTGTAGCAGGCAGGAATGCACACTCTAGCAGCAAACTGTCTAAATCCCCACCCCAACTCTGTCACTATCTTGTGGACTTTGACCACATTACTCAACTTGTAAGACGGAGATGATACTCATAAGGCTGTTACAATAATCATAGGACTACTATAAGCATTAAACTGATACATATAAAGCACTTAGAACAATGTCTAGCCCATAGTAAGTGCTCAGTAAGTGTTTGCCATTTTATCACCATCACATAAGTCACAACTTGCATTGGGTGTTATCCTAACAAATTATATTTCATAAAATCCAAAGGAAATGTCAAAAAAAAAAGCAATAATTAATTCCATAAACCCTACAAAGTGACATGCACAGTGTTAGGTTCTTTGGGGGATAGAGATACCAAAAAAGACCTAGTTCTTGTCATTAATAACTTTATTATAAACTACTAGAGGCAATATACAACTCTTTATAAAATATAACAAATCAAATAAATGTATAATAAAAGTGCAACAGACACAACAAGGAAGGAAGAATTCTGACTTCACTTAGAAGATAGCATTTGAGCAGAAATCTTGCTCAAAGAATGAGTATGATTTCTACACCCAGAAAAGGGGAGGAGGAAGGGGAGAAAAGAACAGGGTATTTCAATATGATCAAAAGTAGAGAAGCATTCAAGTGTTTAGTACTCCTGGGATGACATGTGCTTTGTTCACTGCAGGTGTTTGAAGAAATGCAGTGATGGGTCAGGCTGGAAATGGCCATTTGCAGCCAGATCGTGGACCCCCACCAAAGAACTGAGACTGGACTTTACAGAGGCAGAAGGAAAGGTATCCAAACCAGAGCAGCTGAGAGAAAGGAGATCAGCAAGGAGCTGATCAGGGGAGATGACACGCCTGGGGCAGAGGTGGGGAAGGGAGCACACAGGAGAGGATATGCGTGTGGTGTGAAACCAGCCTCCGCAGGGCTCACATCTAAGGGCCTTCCCACTCATGGAGTCCACAATTCAACCTGAGATCTTGAAAAAATGCTCACTCAAGGAACCTTTATGCACTGAGACAGAAATAGGTTCACGCCTCTATGGCTTTGGGTGTAACCAACTACCAGCTGCAAAATAAAAGTACCCTAGAAGCAGAGAGAATTCCTACAAACTCAGACTGGGTTTCTAAAGTGTCCTGTGTACACTGGGCAATTACTGTCATCAGCTATCATCTATTAATCACCTCTGTGTAAGGCACAAGTACATGTGAGGAACTAGGAAAGGAAAAAACTGTAAGTACAGAATAAAATACACTCTGCTTAAGGAGAGAGAACATATTCATAGAGGCTAGGCACCTTAAATCCTCCTCTGAAACAAAGCAGGGAACAAACAGCTGAATGAAGAGGACAGACATTGCTACAGGTCCTCAGAGAGGAAGTGATTCCTGGACACAGCGGCCAAGGGAAGGACTCACGGCAAGAATGACATGGAAGCTGAGCCTTGGAGGTGGGCGAGATCTGGGTAGGATAAGCAGGAAGCTGTTCCCACAGACATCCTGCCACCAAAATTGCCCAGCCGCTACGATGCAGCCATGGAATACAAGGTCATAGAGCAATAATATGACAAACAAAAGAAGAACCGAGAATAATCCCATTTTTATAAAAATTTATAAGTGTGTATATACTCACAGAAGACCAGACTATCAAAAATGTTCCCAATGGTTATTTCCAGCCTAGATAATAAGATTGTCAGGGATTTTTTGTTGTATGATAGTTTCTCCTTCGTGCTTTTCTATGGTTTATAAATTTTCTACAATGAATAAAGGTTTTTTACCTTTTTAAATTACTGAACTCAGCAGGGTGGGTATAGCTCAGGGGTAGAGCACATGTTTAGCATGCATGAGGTCCTGGGTTAAATCCCCAGTTACCTCCATTAAAAATAAATACACAAATAAATAAATTACTGAACTCACTTATGAAAGTGGAGAATTAAATCTATAAATCAACTAACAGATACTCTGTGAGCACCTGTTTTGTGCAAAGGCACATTTAGGTAGATATAACACTGCTTTCTTTCTAAAGGAGGTGAGAAAGTAAGTTAGACTCATTCAGGGATGCAGACCTTTTGGGAAATGTTACCTGAAACAATGCTAAAGATAGATTATCAACTTAAAAATTCTATGCTTATAAAAACATAGTTTGGACCAATGCCTTTTTATCCTGATCAACTTTGGATCGTGGATGCTGATGGAAAAAGAAAGCAGTTCAGGTATGTGCTCAAACGTACACTAACACCCCTGAATACATTAGCCTTTCCAGCATGATAAACTCCCTAACACGACTACCTAATGGTGAGTCGGGCAACCAAGGAGCACAGGGGAGGATTTCAAAATTCAACCTAAAATTCAAATATGCCATTAACTCCACACAGATAGGAGAGTGGGATTATTAATCTAGACCCCAACAGAACTCCCCTGTGAACACACTTATTTTCCAAGAGCCCTTGGAAAAGCCCTACCCAGTCTGTGACCCGGGCCTAGGGCTGCGTCATCCTTTGAGCCTGGTTGCCTTCACAATGCCACAGGCCCCTGGTGGCCAAATCAGGACAGCACCACAGCCCAAGGAACCGCACCCAAGTCAGCAGGCCCCCAGGAACGCCACAACACCTCTCAGTTTCCCTTCCTAGTGGGAACAGACACTCCAGCGCACATCTCCCAGGCCCTTTCTATTTTGCTTCCAACTGAATGAGGTTTCAGACTTTCTGTTTGAAAGACTTGGCCTGATTACCAGGATGGACTGTACATTTAAAACTGAGTAACAGAGCAACTCCATCAAAATCTGACGCAAACGAGGTAGAAGAGCTAGTCTGCGGTTCTCAGGTTCCCCGGCCAGGACAACTGTCTTGGTTTACCCTTTCCCTGGGGGCTGCGGTAAACACTTCTGTTAAACGCGAAGAAACCCTGGCTGTCCCCCTTTATCCTCCTCCTGAGCGACAAGAAGAGTTACACTGTGAATAACGAGATTAGCAGGTTTTAAGAAGCATGAACCGCAGCCAGGCTCGCCCAGCGCTGCTGGAGACTCACCTCACAACCCCTCAAGTCTACCTCACTGTTGCCAAGGACCTGCCTTCACTGACTAAAGCTGCTGGAAATGTGCTTATTTTTAGAAGCCAATTATTAACTAAGTCAGTGGTGCTTTTGTGAAGGTTTTCTATAGGAGAGACAAATGCTTCATGGAAAAAAAAAATCAGAGAGAATGCTCAGAAACTTTTACTTCTGCATAACAAACACCAACCCTGAGTCTCCTGTTCTCCAGTTGCTCAGCTGCCACCTGAGCAGGAACTTACTTCCAAAGACAAGAACATTCCTGTTCTGATCAGGCAGCATCCATTCACCCCTTAGGTCTCAAAATCCAGACTGGGCAATGCACACACAGCTTACTTCTAGGAAAGGTCAGCCCCTGACCAAGCGCTTTAGAAGATGGGGCTCAATGCACGCTGATGACAAATTTACTTTAAAACGCATCCAAAAATATGATCTGAGCAATGGACAGGTGGACAGCGTGTGGTAAAGCAAATATGGGACAACTGCAGAATCCAGGTGGTGGGTTTAGAGTGTACATCACACAAGTCCTTCAACTCCTTGTGCTTTTGAAATTTTCCATAATGAAGTGTTGGGGGAAAATGTTAATGACGAGGAACATCATGCAAAGACTGTGACACAGAGAGGGCCCAAGAACCTCAGAAGCTGGGATGTGGCTAATAAGCACAGCTCCACATGAGAACACCTTTGAAATGTGGAAGCTGAGGCAGAGCAGAAATCCCCAAAGAGAAGTGGCAGCCAGTGGTCAGAGCCTTCCTGTCACAGGCAGGTGTGGGGGCTCCTACAGGAGGACCTGCTCAGGGACCGAGGAAGAGCAGAGAGTGCCCAGGCCCAGAGCAGAAAGCTGCTCTGGACAAGGCTGCTTGGACTTCAGGCCATAACTGTTTCCTTACAGGGCCACATCTTCACCAGCCCCGAGCCTCTCCTCTCTCCACTAGCACTAGCAGACAGTCCCAGTTGCCCTCTGGGCCTGTGGGCACCGAGGGACAGAAGGCCCTAAATCTCTCTTGAGTCCCAGGCCTGACTCCGCCCTCCCTGACCCTCGTCTCCTTCATTCAGTCATTCAACGCATATCACCTAATAGATGCCAGACACTGTACATGGCCCTCAAAATAATTTGACCCTCCCAACCTCTGACAGCCAGTTTTCCAGCAGGCTCAGGCTCCCTAGGGTAATTCCAGAAGCATCTTCTGCTTTGGGGCTTATGGGGAAGGACCTCAAAAAGCCAAATCCATGGGGGGAAACAACTGATCTGCAGGTACCACAAATGGGCCACGAGGATGGGAACCAACCCTTGTCACCTCCTGTTTCACCTCCTCCTCCAGGAGGGAAAGGCTGGACAAGGGCAAGGCGCATAAGGTTGTGATCAGTATCTATGTATCCAGGATGAAGAAAGAAGGCGGGAGGGTATAACTCAAGTGGTAGAGTGCATGTTTAGTATGCAGAGGTGTTCTGGGTTCAATCCCCAGTACCTCCTCTAAAAACAAATAGATGAATAAACCTAATTACCTCCACCCTCAAAAAAAATAGAAGAGATGTTCAAAACACTGGGGGCACCAGCAAGGGACGAACCTCCTAAGAGGGCTCTCCTGGAGTTCATTAAGACCAGGCACTGGGACTCTCATTCCAGAGGTGAGGGTAGGTCTAGAGAGGCAGGAAGGAAATGAGAAAGTTGTTGAGGGACACTAGGCTGGACTGAAAGCGGAGAAACCACGAAGTATGTGGACTCAATCACGTTAGCCCTTGTCTCTGAACAGTCAGCCTCCGTGAGAATAAAGCAAAAGCTAATGTTTGCAGTTGTGTGCTGAGTCAGACAGCGTGCTGATAGACCTACATCTCTTATTTTAATTAATCCTTACCACAATGAAGCAGATACTATAACGGCTATTTTACAGATGAGAAAACTGAGAATCAGAAAGATAAAGAAACTTGTCCAAGGTCATGATGAGAAGGTGACAACCTGTAAACAAATAATCATTGAACACCTGCTACGGTTTTGGAGACAGAGTGGCAAACAAGATAAAGTGTCCACCTGGATTTTTGTGGAGAAGAGAGATATGAGTAAACGTCTCAGATTCCAAAGTCCCTGTGCCACGCTGCCCACTGGGGACAGAAAAAACAGCAACCATGAAGCCAGCCTCTCTCTGAAATTCTGGCCAACAAGGATGGAAACAAGGCTCAACCACTATCTAGTAGATTCCACAAAGTGCACTGGGGTCAGACAGCCTTGGTTTAAATTCTACCAATTCCACTTCCTAGCTCCTTGACCTTGGGTAAGTTATTCCATTTCTCTGAGCCTCAGTTTCCTTATTTATAAAATGCAGATAATGCATCCAACTCAATAAGGTTGCTGGAAAAATGCAATAGAATATTAATTTGCTTAGGGCAGTGCTCAATACGATACACACTTGATAAATATTAGTTTATCATTACTAGTTTTGCTAACCCAGCTCTTAAAGCAGATTATAAACTCTCTGAAGGCAGGAATTGTCTCACTCACCTTCATAACCCCAGAACTGTGTACCCAGCACACAATATCACATGTAATAAATGGATTTAAACTATACTAACCAGATTTTACCTCCATCAAAATCTTGGGATCAAGAAAACTGGGAGATGTGCTCTAAGCACACTAGCCAGGGAGACTTGGCCGCTGCCACCTCTCTTTGAAGAGGCAGGGACCTAAGAAGGAAACCGGTCATCTTTTTGGCTATTCCAAGTTCTACATGGAGGCTTCACAGATGCCCAGGACAGTGATGGGGATCCAGGGAGGAACAAGGAAGTGCTGGTCACATTCCAAGCCAAAGATTAGCCCAAAGCCACCCAACTACCAGCCCGCGGCTCCTGAGGCTGCCAGGCGGCCACATACCATGTGCTCCATGCAGATGCTGATCTCGCCGTCGCTGTAGAACGCACCATAAAAGCCCACGATGTACGGGGAGTTGCACTCATGCAGAACCTGAAGCTCCCTTATGATCTGGTTCCGGATTGCAGGCTTGATCTCCAGGTGAATTAGCTGGGGAAAGAAAGGTGGGAGGAAGAGAAGCTTTAGAAACATTTGGATGGATGGATGGATGGTTTGCTGGGTGGGTGGGTAGAAGCTTTCTTAAATGCTTAAGCTCTTAAAGGTAGAAATAGAGGAAACAGGCAAATTTTAACAAACAAGATTCTGCCCAACCAGAGCACTGAGTGCCAACATACCAGGGCAGGTGTTGGCATTGGAAGAGCTGTAACCAGGGGAGGGCCAGCTGGCCCTCTGCTCCTGGGGGCTGAGACTGAGGAAGTAGGGGTTCATTCACCCTTCCCAAGAAACAAAGGACCTGGGAGCTGAGAGATTAGGGGAGAGTGGCCTTGAAGACTTAGTTGATACTTAAGGTTTGTGGGACTAGAAGGGTTTGAGGAACTGGGTCAGCAGACCCAAGCTGCCTAGGAGATTTCTCCTTGACCTCAGGAGCCTGATTTAGCCAAGCCTCAGGGCTCCTACGTTTCCCCCAATGCAGTGCCTTGTTTCAGCTGGGGAGACAGGTGAAAGACACATGAAATCATGACCAAATAAGGCTGAGTGTCTAAAAAGAACCATGGACAATGAGTGTCAGAGAACATGGAAGCAGTGGTTATCAGTGTGGGCTGGGACGGCTAGTGAAAGCTAGACAGGAGGTGGCCCTTGAAGACGGGCACTGACTGAAAAGATGGAAGGCATTGCATGAGCAAAACTATGTGGACAGGAATGAACATGGAGTGCTCCAAAACATGGAAGAGCCCAGCCTCGCTGTTCAGGAAGGACCCAGGGTCACCAGGAAGGGATGTTCAGCTCAAAGACTGCCTGCTGTGTTGGGGAGCTGAGCTGCTACACTGCAGGGAGATGAAGGGGAACCACTGGCAGGGGTGGAGCTCAGAGAAACATGAAATCCATGTTTTGTGTGTCCCTGGGGCCAAGTGAAAGAAAACAGCTACTCCTGCTCTTGAGAAATGGCAAACGAATGGCATCCCAGCTTTCTTTCCAGAGCACACAGCTAATGAAGGGTCATTTGCTGTGTTTTCCAGTCTGGGGAGAGGAATATATCACTAACACATCATGAATATTTATCTATAATCTGACAGATAACTTGAGTTCAAAAAATCCAAACAGCACAAAAGGGTATTGAATGAAAAGTAAGTCTTCGTTCCATCCTTTTCCCTAGGCCCCCAGGTCTTCTAGGAGATAATCCAATTACTTATTTACCAAGGCAAGCTTGATCCAGTTCTTTTTTTTTTTAAAGTGGCCTCACCTTTCTGGCCATGACGAGGCCGGATGGCTTGTGGGAGACCTTGAACACCACACCACCATTGCCGGCGCCCAGCTCACTGATCTTCTCAAAGTCGTCATCCTTCAGTTCCCCCACCTTCTGCTTCTGGGTAAGAAAGGCCTCGAGGCGCTTCCGCTGCTGTTCATCCAGCTCCAGCTCCTCCAGCTTCTTCTGCAAGGCCTCCAGATTGGTCCTGTCCCAAAGCGGGGAGCACAAGTCAATACTATCATCAGAGAAGTCCACCTCGAGTAGCACGGCTGCTGTGGAGAGCTCCAGCTCTGGGGCCAGAGAGCGCTGATGGAGGAGGCTCAGGGGAAGGCTCCGTCTGCCGTGGCTTTGCCCCTGCACCCCGCCACCCACACCGCAACTCTCCAGGCCTGGTCCCTGCCACCCCACACAACGCACCACTGACACACCGCACCTCTCCAGGCCTGGTCTCCTCATTTGTAAAAGGGAATTAGTTCTCCCTCAGTGTGCTCCGAGTCTACAAGAAGAACCAAAGAATCTACTAAAATCTAGAGTGAGCCACCTTAATCCACTTTAAAACTTCAGTTTCAAAAGTCCCACTAGTGTTGGTTTTAACATCACCATATACAAAATAAAATCTGGTTCTTAAAACCACTAAACTGAAACCAAAGCAAATCACCAAAATCACCAGGCTCTAAACTGAATCAACAATAGAAACACTCCAATGTGATCAGGTCAGGAATCAGGCCAATCGAAACAGAGCAACAAGGTACACCTGAAATTTTTATTTTTGCAATAATATATACACAAACATACATTCATTCACTCACCTTCTAAAATAGGGCAAGGCCTTTGAGTAAGGATCCACTGATAAGAGCCTCACCTCATTTTTATTACATGAACCAGAATATAATACAATGTCTATCGTTTCCTATCATTTCTAAATCCTGATTCTCTAAAGTGTAGTAAAAACGTAGACACTTAAAAAATAATCTCTGAATAAAATTTTAAGAGTTTGATGATTTCCCCGAGTTTTAATGTTCATCTAATCTGACAGTAATATTTCTTAGTGGCTTGGTCTTGAGTCTTTCCAAGGCTTTTAACTAGTGTTCATAGTGTTCGTGGGGGAGGGGAGGAGAAAACCACTTCATTTGCAGTCGTATTTGTCGGTGTATCTGATATTTAAAGATGTACATTACTTACATTTCAACACTAGCTACAACTGTACAAATGGGTTGGGGAACGAACCGGCTCTTGGTAAGCACATAATTCAACCAGTGGGCGCCGGACTGAGTGGGTATGGCAGAGAGCGGCCTGCTAGTGTGTTTTACATAAAGAAATGAAGTGTTCATTGCTCCTGGGAGCTTGTTAAGAGGAGGGTGGCAAAGAGAGCTTCCACTGTGTTTCATTTGATTTTTGTCCCTAGTCTAAACAACAACACAGGTGACAAGACAGGTCGTCATTACACATCAGAGTGGTGGTGCCCCCTCCCCTCAACATACACACCAATTCTGAGCCTGGAGGGCAGGAGCAAGCATGGCCTTCCACTCTTCATTCACACTCTATCCCAAACCCCAAGGAGGCAAGAAGATGGAGACCTAACGCCTCCCCCGCGCATGGGGAGATCCAGTGCTGCCTTACAAATGACACAGCACGTGGGGCTAAGAGGACACAAGGCTGACTTCCCCACCTCTCCTCCCTGGGGAGCGCTCGGGAGAAGAAGGCTGATGCCATGGACTAAACTGTGCCCCTCCCCCAATTCACATGTAACTATGAATGTAACCCCCACTGTGACTATGCTTAGAGATAGGATTTTTAGGAGGTAATTAAGGTGAAGTAAGGTCATATGGGTAGAGTCCTAATCAGACAGGACTGTTGGCCTTGTGAGAGAGGTGGTCTTCCCTCCCCACATTCCATGTGAGGACACGGCAAGAAGGTAGCTGGCTGCAAGCCAGGAGGAGAGGCCTCACCCAAACCCAACCACGCTGGCACCCCCAGCTTAGAACAGAAGCCCCCAGAACGAGGAGCAAATTAATTTCAGTTGTTTAAACCACCCAGTCCCTGGTGTTTTGTTATGAAGCCCAAGCAGACTAAGACAGCTGGTCAACATTCTCATTCTGCTAAAAGGCTCGACTCAATCTCCCTGCGGCCCCCAGTCCCTCAAGCATGGGGACCGGAACAAGTGTGGTGTGAGTGCACAGTGCACACCTGCTGGTTTCCTTTCTCTGAAGTCTCTCCACAAAGGAGCCCATGATGACAACATTTAGAAACACATGTCAAATGCAGACAGACCCCACAGCTAAAACTTGGACGAGGTTACAGTTGCCTGGAGGGTTCAGCAGTCTGGCTGGAAATGAGACTCCGAAAGATCCTGTCACACTCACACACACACACCCCCCACACACACACTGAGCATGTATGAGGAAGAGAGGGAAGGGGGTTAGATGGAGTGGCAATTACTCTCCTCACAACACTGTGAACTCTTTTCAGTGTTTTATACATATTAATGCATTTAATTCACAACCTTACAAATACAACAGACAGCAACTTCAAGCACAGACAGGTGAAGTAATTTGTCTAAGATCACATAGTGGTAGAGCAAGGATTCAAACCTGGGCAGAGAGAAAGTCTAACCTTAATGACAATGCTGTATTACCTCTTCAAAGAGTTCAATACTTTCAAGGGAGGCAACTTGCAAACATGGGTAAGATCCAAGTGTGGGGCATGCAACACACCAGGGCTCAGCCATGAAGATGGTGTACCTACATGAAGTTTTCTGCCCCAGATGCGATCCTGTCTCTCCTGTGTATCAATCAGTCTGAACACTGCCTTGCAGGTAACACTGGCCACAGGAAACCACACCCTCGGAGGGCGGGGGGGAAGGGGGGAGGGATGCTGACTCTGCTCATTTTTTGACTCCCTGCAGAAATAAGGAATTCTCCCACCTTCAGGAAGGAAAACCAAGTCTGGGCTCTGTGCCACCTTCCTCCCACCTTTCCATCCTATGCTCTGTGGTCTAACCGCCTACCCCACTGGCTAAGGAACCGGCTTCTGATTTGTGCTTTCAGAAGGTGGAGCCAGGGAGAGAAGAGACATGGCAAGCACTATAAGCTGCAGTGGCGACACTTTCCAAAAGACTGGGGGTGAAACAGTGCTGCCAAATTGACAAGTTGTTAGTAATCAGGAACCCAGGATTCTTCCACCGAATTAGTCGTCAGCTAGCTGTGGGGCCGTGGACAAGTCACTTCACTTGACGCATCCCAGTTTTCTGTTTGGTAAAATTGAGTAACAAGATGCTTACTTCACCAGGAGAAGATCAAACAGAAAATTTATGGGAAGAAACACTGGAATTTTAACACATTTCTACACAAACATTAGGGTGAGTGGGAGCGGGCTGGACAAGGAAGAGCCAGAGCAACAACAGCAGGATGCAGGAATTACTGTCTTTCCTGTAATTTAATAAGTATTAAAAGCCTCTAACAGTTTTCAAAACACTGTTTCAGAAAATGAAAGGCAAAGATTTCTATCTGAAGGTGAAAGGAAAATCATGGCATCAAAACGACTTTCATGACTCATTAAAAAAAATCAATCAACATATCAGTATTCAGTACTGCTTCCTCCTGCACAGGGAGTGGGTGGTGTCCAGCGAGGCTCACTTCCACCCTCCCAAGGCGAAACGCTTCACACACAGGAGAGAGGAGGGGCCCCTCCTCTCAACCACACCACTGATCTCCAAAACTCAGAGGGCAAGAACTGGCCTCCTTCACACTCTTTGGTTTTAACTGAAATCAGAAAAATCAGATCTAGGGACTGAGAAAAGAAACTAGAGAAAAGAAAAGAGCCCAGCACAATACATCTCTGACACACACGGCCCTCTCCAGGGACCAGCTGTGATGGCTCTGACTCCCGCCACACTCCCCACGGCACAGAGGGAACGACACACTGTAACGTGAATTCTGCACCAGGGCTGTCTCACAGTAAACACAAGTTCATCCAGATACAAGCAGATAATAGGCTTGAAATAGGAACAGAGAGGAAAAAGAAGGAACTTGGAGAAAAACAAGGGTTGTCATTTGTGTTCTGAAAACACCAGGAAGGCACAATGAAGTGGGTGGGGAAAGGATGATGCTGTGGGCAAGAACATCTCCTTCCCTCTCATCTCAGCCATCTGCTAAGCCTAACTGCACTCCCACAGCTGGACTCTTTCATTTGTGGCTCAGTGGTTCAAGTCAAGAAGCAGTATAACATGTAGCACAGGGCGGGACCTCAAAGACCACCTGACCCAACCCATTTTACAAGTGAAGCAACGGAGGTCCAGAGAGGACAAGGTCACACAGCTTACTGGTGGCAGATCTCCCAACTCCTGAAACAGAGCTCCTTTCAAGGCCCCATGTTGCCACTTCCAACCCGGGTGGTCACTGCAATGGGAAGCTGACCCAAAGGAATGACTGAAGGGTCAGGGAGGTGACGTCCAGACCAAGGAATGGGGTCTTCAAACTGCCATTCACCAAATAGAAATGGACACAAATGCATGTCAAACATCAGCCAGCTGTCCGTTGCCAACCTGAGCAAGGCTGCTGTAGGTGGCAGGCCCTCTTCCTCCAGGAGAAGGCACAGAGGGATGAGCAGAGGATGATAACCAATCACTGTGCTGGAAGGTCGGTGTCCTCACCAGAGAGCCGAGGCGTTGTGAAGTTCTCCCTTCCTTGTGGCATTTGGCAAGTAGGTCAGGGAAGGGAGAGAGAAGGAAAGGGAAAGACGCAAGCTAAGAGGGAACAGCACCCAGAGACTAAGGCCGCAACCCCTTGCTATCTGCACCCTATACCATTCCCCAGCTGAGAGATCTTGGGAGTTACCTCCCCTCCTGGTCCTCAGTTTCCACAACTACAAAAGAAGTATACAGGGAGGAGGCAGGGGTGAGTTGCCTAGATGTGTAAGGAAGTTTGTCAGTGTGCCGGCCAGCTGAGGAGGTGCAGAGTAAGGCTGAGGGTGTGTTCAGGTTGAGGGGCTGAGGAGCTTCAACTGGGGTGGAGGGGTGTGAGGAAAAAGAGAACTAGCATCAGGGGTCAAACCATGGACAGCAGGGGATGGGAGGGGTGACAAAGAGCAGTAAGAGAGGAAAGGAGAATGGGCCTGAATGAGGAAGGCAAGGGGCCAAAGGCACAGTTTACCAACTTCCGGACTCCAACTTAGACCAGCCCATCTGTTAAGAGTTTAGATGTGCCA